GCTGAGCAGGTTACAGTGACAGACTGATGCTCCTTCAGGTCAGAGGGAACATTAATGCTGGGACTCCAAGGAGAATCTGGGGTTTCACATCAGATGCACATTTTAAAAAATTAACATCTAATCACAGTTTATGATGTATAGAATAAATTTAAACGAGCATTTCTATACAATGCTTCACTATTTCTATATTAACCAATTAAAAATGAAGTCTGATTGCATGTATGGGATTTCCTAGTCATTATTGTCTGTGCAGCACATTTACATATTTGCAGTACTGCAGTTATTTTAATGACGATTTAGAAATAAAAATATTTTAATTTTCAAACAACTTTCATTAACAGAGGATTATTATTAAATAAATAAAACTTTATTTTTAGAGACATGAATAACAAAAATTCATTGATTGATTATGTTTATAATGAGGCAGGAGGTACTTAAATTTTACATTAGTTTACTGTAGATCATTTAAAATGTTATTTATTTAAACTAAAGATTCTGCCAACTGCAGATTTTTCATTCAATATTCTTTTCCTTACTGAGAGTTTGATGTGGTTCTGCACAGCTACATCATGATGGATAGCAGAATACGAGAAAGAAAATTAATTTAAAGCTTTAAAACAATTATAGACGAAAATCAAATTGATTTTTTCTTTTATTGAAAAAGCGATTATTAAGCAGTGTTGTAGTACTCAAAGCCGGTGGAAATCTCACTAAACTTGCAGCATACCGTCTAGTTTATTTGTTAACATCTTTGTTTTCAGTGGATGCAAAACACACCAATTAAAATCCAAACAATAATGTGACTTGCTTATAACCTGTTTCTGTTACTCTCTCCACACCCCTCACAGTGAGCGCCTTGTGCTTGATTACTTCTTGCTTGTTGCTCCTTAGTCAGTGTTGATATTTGAGCATTGTTTATCGTTAGTGCATTGCCTTAATTGCTATATTTTATGGTGCAGACAGTGGTGGTTTCTGACATGAATGATATGGGCAAACTCTTAGGGCATTATCTTTTAAGGATGTCAGGAGACCAACAAGGATTGTAGCACAGAGTTGGAAGCACAAAGAGTTTGTTCTGCTTTTAATATTGGTTAAATTTATTTCAGCTCTAAGTATTTAATATCTAGGTGTATTTATGGGAATGTGAATCTTTCAGATCAATTTGAGAAGCAATTTTGATCATATTTTACATTTTATTGTGTCATGTAGCGCCGGGCGCTGATCTTGGTCTTAACTTGACCTTGTATCCTAAAAGTCTTGGTCTTGTCTCGGATTAGGTGGTCTTGACTACAACACTGTTTAGTATTTTCTCTTAAACCAGAGATAATATCAGTGTCAACATGAATGTTAATGTTACTGTATTATAAAGTAAAACCTCTCTTACCTTTAACCTTTATTTGAAGAGGATCAGCGCAAGCTGTTGTTCTGAACGGTCCGTTCTCAACCCTGAAGAAGTATTTGTCTGTATAACTTGTATTTAAATCAGGAAACAGAGTGGTGCAGTTTCTCTCTCTCAGGTTTCCAGTGATATTCAGTGGATATTTGTTTACTGACCTACTGCTGTGGAAAATAACTACACTTGGATCGCTGCTAAAATCTGTGTCATTTTTCATCCAGACTCCATTGGTATGTCTCCTGCTGTCAAACTGCCTCAATGTCTTAAAGCTACATGGGATTTCCAGACAAGATCCACTCAGAGCTTCAATCTCCTTTGGTGCTGTGATGGAGATGCCTACTGGTTTGTTTTGACAGTAGTCAGCAAAAACACCTGTAAAATCAGACAAATGATGAATATCATGTGGAGTCAAATCTGTCTGCAGAGAAACTTCGTGATCCACAAACTCCAGTTCAGCTGCAGCAGGTTACATGTGGATCAAATGTTTCAGACCAGAAATGATTCATGTGAATGAAAGGAAGAGAACAAACATCTCACCTGGAAGAAAGAAGACACTCAGTAACATGTTGACTGTCAGCATGTTCTCAGACAGACTCTGATGTACCTTCAGGCTGGAAACCAAACATTTAGATGATTTATTAAAGTAGCTCTGAGGTCAGAGGTTTAACTCATTGTAAAGTAACTCTGAATGCTGTTTACGCCCATGAGCTTAACACACATCTAGAACTGATATGTGGAAGACATTAGGAGAAAACTGATACTCTTTGCTCTTCAAAAGTATCTTCAACACTCAAATCAAAATCTTCAACCTTCTTTTAACGTCTGTTGAAAACAGAAATATTTTCAACAACAATAGGTGTATTTGACAATATATACAAATGACAGAACTTGATTAAATATTTGGTTAAATCATCACAATCAACAATATAAACGTACCTGAATTTCTGCAGATAAAATGAGGATAGTGTAAGTTTTAAAACCAGTTGACCTATTAGGATCAGTTGACCAGCAAAGAATGAACATCAACCTTATCTGTGAACAGCCAAGTTAGAAAAAGGAGTTTCCCTTCATGTTTTTGAGAAACAGGAAGTCAGCTCTTTCTCTTCATTTCATCATCATGAAGTTGTCCAGTGAAGAGCTACTGAATATGAGTGATTATTTCTCATTTCATTATATTTAGCTATGATTGTTAATAGGTTTGTTCACAAAAACAAAAATACCAAACAAAGTACAGAAAATATAGATCCAGCTGGCATAACCTTTGACTGAGTTTAAGTTTGTTCCCGTGAGTTGCCTGCAGAACTTACAAAACTACTTCTTGTTTTTTTGACTTCTCATCTTTGTCAGCAATTTGTAAAAAGCCGATACAACTGAACAAGTTTTCATGAAACCCCGCAGTGAGGAAATGCTGTATCAATGTACTATTTTTGAGTTTCCTGCATGAATTTCTTTACGTTCTAGCAAGTCAAACAGCAAAAAAAAAAAAAAAAGAAAAAGAAAAAAACAGAAAGGTCAAACATTTTAAAGTGACCGGGAATAAGACTGATTTTATTAAATAATTGTTTGAGCTGGGAAAGTACATAGAGGACCAATGACTAAAAAACATGTTTAAGAAAAAGGAAAAAACAAAAACTATAGATTTCTACTTTTATTTTTAATTATGTCAGTTTTGGTACTCCATAGTAGTGTTGCAATGATTTGCTTCTTAATCCTAATCTCTTGAGACCTTTGGAGGGACAGGAGCTCATTGTTAAAAAGGGGCATATAAAACAAGACCCTACAAAACTTTACAACAGCGTAACAACCGATATTCATCAAAAATCTAATATGGGACTGTATCATAATATATCATTGTCATCAGGTGGAGACAATGTATAGCAAAAGTAGCCTTTGTTATCCCTGATGGGGTTCAATGTTGCAGTTCCTGCTGCTGAAAGTGGTGGAGGACTGGGCTGTGTGGATCTACATGACTGCTGCTCATGTTCCCATTAAAACCAATAAGATCAATCACATCGCCTCAGTTGTAAAGTTATTGCACTGACTCCCTGTAGCTATGAGAATAAACTAGAAGATGCTTCTGTCAATTCATAAATCACTGAATGACTCAGAGTCAAAATACATTACAGATTTGATGAATCAACCTTCAGACCACTCAGGTCTTCCTCAGCTTTCCCAGATTCGTAACCAAACATGGCGAAAAGCAGCATTCAGTTATTAACTTCCAGAAACTACAAAACTGCTGAAACAAGAGTTCCTTTAAATCAATGCTAAAGACCCATTTGTCTAGAGCTGCTTTTCAAATTCATATTCAAAAATACTTAATTAATCCCAAAGGGAAATTTAATGTTGCTGTATCTCAGCAAGATTCTTCAAACAGCCATTGAAGATGGTGATGGCTGTCGGCATCACATCTCAGACACTAACAACCTAGAGCAGGTTGAATATCTAAACACTTAAACTATTCATCCTCTCCATGTATAGAAACAGTCTTAACATTATCAATTAAAATATTTGGGAAACAATAACATTTTTAGCTCTAATTTTCTTAGATACCTTCAGCAAATAAACAGAAGTTTTACATATGAAAAGATAGTCATACAGAACAGGAACAGAAAATATATTTATAACTAAGAAACTTCACTTCAGTCAATTGGTTGGTTAGTCTCTATGTGAAACCTGAAGAAATGGAGGATCTGCTTTTTTATTGAGCTGCAAGGAAAGCAGTGAGGGACCAAAAGTACCACTTGCCTGCCAGCAGATGGCGCCATAATCTCTTCATTCATGAAGATCTGGACCTTCAATAACTTGTCAGTATTTTTCATATAGGATTGCACTGATAACTGTGTAGATTTGATCTATTTCTATGTTTAGCCAATAGTTTATATCTGAATTTATACAACAATAGTTAATCAATAACGCAGATGTCACATCACTGATAATACTGATAAAAGTATCACACGTTTTAAAAGCTTTATCATCATTTACTGAATCTTGCAGAGCAAAAACATAAGAATTAGAACCAATATACAAACCAACAAAAACAAATCTGATAAATCCAACAATCACGAAATGAACAATAATTTTTAAAAGTACTTTATCTCAATGGAAACCAACACAAACAACACTGCATTTAAAAAAATATATTTTGAGGAGTAGGTTGGTAAAATGGTTCAAATGCATGATTCAATTACTCATCAGATTTAAACACATTTATGACTATTTGTCTCCAAAAGTAAATAAAATACTAAACCACCATTAGCTTTCATAGCTGGGTGAGAAATGAGGGTGGTGATGTGTGAACTGACTCACAGCTGGAAGTAAAGCTAAAAATAAAGTAATACTTAAAGAGACATCAGATTAGACTAAAGTTACAGCGGGTCCTTCAAAGCTTAAAAAAATGAATAAAAATCTCCAGTTTTTCATAATTAGACATAGATTTGTTTAAAGCTTGAATGCATGAAGCAACAAAAGTAAATAATATTTTCATACACTGACCTTCGTGATATTTTAAGGTTTTTAAGTTGGAAAGTGATTACAAAAATACAAAGCAGTTAT